CAGACCAAGGGTTCCTATCTATACCTTGTGGCTAATAGCCACTCATCGACTTCTGTTCCGTATGTTTATCTAATCCCCTCTTGGAGCTGTCTGTGCTTGTAGCCACCACCCCTTCCTGCGGCAGTGAATTCCACATGTTAACTACTCTTTGGGTGAAGAAGGACTTCCTTTTATCTGTTCTAAGCCTACTGCTCATTAATTTCATTGAGTGTCCAAGAGTTCTTGCACTGTGAGTTGTAGCCAACTTATGGTGGCGCCGTAGGATTTTCAGGGCAAGAGACATCCAGAGGTGGTTTCCCATTGCCTGCCTCTGCAGAGCGAACGGGGTATTCCTTGGGGGTCTCCCATCCAAATACTGACCAGGGCTGACCCTGATTAGCTTCCGAGATCTGACTAGCCTGGGCTATCCAGGCAAGGGCATATAGCTCTGTGATGCAAGCTAAAATCCTCTTAAATGGAGTGCCAGGAGACAGGATGCTGGATTTAAACCAAGGGATAACTTTTTGACTTTGGGCCAGTCACCATCTAACAGCCTAGCCCATGACACACAGCCATTTTGGTGCAGTGGTTAAGTGCGTGGACTCTAATCTGGGAGAACCGGGTTTGCTTCCCCACTCCTCCACTTGCAGCTGCTGGATGACCTTGGCCAAGCCATAGTTCTGTCAGAGCTGTTCTATCAAGGGCAGTTCTCTCAGAGCTCTCTCAGCCCTGCCTACCTCACAGGGTGTCTGTTGTGGGGAGGGGGAGGGAAAGGAGTTTGTAAGCCGCTCTGAGACTCTGAGTGAAGGGTGGGTATAAATCCAATCTCTTCTTCTCTTCTTCTTCTTTTTGTTGCAGGAACAAAATGAAGTGAACCCGTGCTTGTGGACTGGAGCGTGTTGGAAGAATGGAAGGGTGCAAAAGTGTTAAAAGTGAATGCAGTAATTTAACCTTGAAAGAGCTTCCCGTACGTGAGATTTCTCAGTGGGGTCCACACAGAAATAAATTAGCCAAGGAAGATAGTTTGGAATAGGACAATTCAACATATTTGGGGTGGGGTGTGTGTGTGTAAGCAATTCTTATTCCTGCAGAGAAGCAGAAAAATATGCATTGTGGAGCAAGTTGGCTTGGTTCTCTTTCTCTGCCTCTCTCCAGTTCAGCGCTGTCACTAAAAAAGTTACAGATGACAGCTGCTGAACATGTAAAGGCAACAAATGTTATGTGACCAGAGATGACTGGCATGACATGTGCACCTTATGCAATCATGTTCCCAGCTATTTTAAAAATGTCCTGTGAAAAAAAGCTCCTATTATAAAAAAAAAAACACCGGTTATTGTCAGAAACCTTCTGGAAAACTGATCTCTTGTTAAGCATTTCTCTGCAACCCTTTGAAAACAACCATAGAGCACTTCTGTTTAAATTAGGAGCGATATTTATGAAGCGTTAACGCAGGAATGATGAAAGAAGTTATGTCTAAAGCTGCAATGCATTGCAAGGCGCTGCATTCCCAGCAATTCTCTCTGATCTCTCTAATCCACCCAAAGCAACCTTCTCAGCGATCTCCCCCCCCCCGCCGCCCCCTGTATTATCCAAGTGTAACACTGGGAACGTGGTAGAGCATTTTTGGAAATGCCTTCTCAAACGTTTTTAAACTTGCTTCCTCAGTAGGCACGAAAAATATGAGTTAACTGTTGGTTTGAATGCTTGGCAGGGGCACATGGCACAATGAGTGTTGCCAACTCTGGTCTGTGTAATTCCTGGAGATTTGGGGTGGTCCCTGGGTATGGCAGAGTTCAGGGAGAGGAGGGAACTCAGGAGATTATGTGATTGCTACTGAGCAGGGCTCCAAAACCTTTTTGAGCCCGTGGGCACCTTTGGAATTCGGATACAGTGTGGTGGGCGCAGCCACATGATGGCTGCCACAAAATGGCTGCTGCAGGAGGCGGAGCCAGCCACAATGTCACCGCCATAGCTGGCCTTCAGTCACACAGTGAAGATCTTTGTACAGTGGTGGCAGCTGCTGACAAAGCAACAGCAAAGCAACACTACACCACTACACTTGGTGTAGTGGTTAAGTGCGCGGACTCTAATCTGGGAGAACCGGGTTTGATTCCCCACTCCTCCACTTGCATCTGCTGGATGACCTTGGGCAAGCCATAGTTCTGATAAGAGATGTCCTTGAAAAAGAGCGGTTTCTGTCAAGAGCTCTCTCAGCCCCACCTATCTCACAGGGTGTCTGTTGCGGGGAGGGGAAGGGAAAGGAGTTTGTAAGCCGCTCTGAGACTCCTTTGGGTAGTGAAGGGTGGGGTATAAATCCAATCCCTTATCTTCTTCTTCTTCTTCTAAAAAGGTGCACAGGCAATCAGATCTCCAATGGCCAATCAGAAGCCTTGCTGGACAAATGTCCCACCTGGTGCCGCCCACTTCCACAAGTCAGGTGGTTCCAGACTTCTAAAATCCTAGTGCATTCGTAACTGAACGTCCCATTTTGTTGATTACACTGATCGCCCCTTTTGCTAGTTCGCCTCTTTCCAAATGTCAAAAGGAAATCATCTTTTGGTTTTGAACCTACAGCCAGAGCTGAAATCTGTTCTGAAACAGGACTACCTCTGTTTTGTGATTTGCAGAACTTGCTCTCTAGATACACTTAACATGTCTTAAGAATTGAACTTTCACCTCCACTTGTAGCCGGACCTGCAGCTCGGGATGGGCATGAACTCGCTCAGGAACGAAAGTTCGTCAGGAATTTTGGCCGGTTAGTAGTTTGCGAACTGAAGTTTGCCAAGTGAAGAGCTGCCACAAACTCCCACGAATTTTAAGGCCATTCGTGGAGGTTCATGAAGAGCAGAAAGCAGGGCATGGCAATTTTCAACTGTTACTTTCCCCGTACAATGTGATTCCTCCCCTAACATATCGTAAACTGTCTGTCCTCTGCAGTGTTTTCTACATGAACAGTGACATTATTGGATGAGATGCTGAACTGTGCCTGGCAGTTCTCGTTTGTGTGTGCATGTCTGTTTTAAGTACATCAACATTCCACACAATGGTTTCTAGACCCTTTGCCTTCATGCAGCTTGCAACTATATCTGAATCAAACCTAGAAGTCCAAATTTAGAAATTTTTGAATTCTTCCTCTGTACTATATACTATATTTCTAGTTCCAGCTCCTGCCAACCTAGCAGTTCGAAAGCAAGAAATTGCAAGTAGATAAATAGGTACCACTTCGGTGGGAACAGCGTTCCGTGCGCCTTGGTGTTTAGTCATGCCGGCCACATGACCACAGAAACGTCTTTGGACAGCGCTGGCTCTTTGGCTTTGAAACGGAGATGAGCACCACAACCCTAGAGTCGGATTTGACTGGCTTTCGAGCAAGGGAACTTTTACCTTTACTTTTTACTATATACATAGAATTACTTGTGACAGTACTTCTCAGACAAATGTTCTGAAAAACTCAAAAATATCAACAAGTTCTAAACGGTTTTTTTTTTAACTGTACATCTTAAATATATTTATTCACTTAAAATATTTCTATTTTGCTCCATCCATAAACACAAAGCAGTGAGTAGGCATAGCAAACTTCTTATCTCATTTCTTATATGTAATCCAGCTCTTCTTTGGAAAGCTATCAGTGGATGTTCATCCCAGGACTAACCTGGTCCAGCCACTCTAAGCACTGGTAATGCTATCACACTGGTTGTTCCCAAAGGATTCTCATCATCATAAAATCATCATTAAGGCTGAAACCACATGGGGGTGTGTGTCAAACTACACCACTGTCACGGCAGCAGCAAGCAGAGGTAGAAAGGTCTCCACCCAGGGAATCTTACTGCCACAACCTTCCGCTTCATCCTCCCTTTTCACCTTTGTTTCACCCATACAGAAGTACAGATATTTAATTTATTTGATTTTTTAAGCTGCAGCTCACCCAAAGGGCCTTGCAGCGACCTACAACATTAAAACCATATAAATAAGGTAAAAACAGAAAGATAACGTATCTAAAATGTCAACATTAAAATGCTAAAATGTTAAAGTATTAAAATATGTGGCTAGCACCATACTATTAACAAAAACGATCCAAACATGTGGACTACCCTCCAAAGGCCAACTTAAACAATTCGGCCTTGCACGCCCTGCAGAAACTAAATGAGTCCAGCAGGGCACAGGTGTCATCCAAGAGTGCATTCCACAGCCTAGGGGCCACAACTGAGAAAGCCCTTCCCCTGGTGACAGCTAACCGAGCCAGGCAGCTGCCAGAGGCCCCTAGAGGATGACTGAAGAGAGCGTGGGGGTTTGTAATGGGAGAGGCGGCCCCATTTTTTAATTCACATATTTATTCACTTAAAATATTTCTATCTTGCTTCATCCATAAACATAAAGCCGTGAGTAAGGCCCCATCGAGAGGGTGCAGAAGAGAGTGACGAGGATGATCAGGGGTCTGGAGACTGAACCCTACGAGGAAAGGCTAAGGCCTTGGGAATGTTTAGCTTGGAGAAGAGGAGATTGAGGGGGGACAGATTGCTCCCTTTAAATATATGAAAGGCTGTCAATTGGAGGAGGGCAAGGAGCTGTTCCAGTTGGCAGCAGAGGAGAGTACCCGAAGCAGCGGGTTTAAATCACATGCAGAAAGGTATCGGCTGAATATTAGGAAAAACTTTTTCACAGTCAGAGTGGTTCAAAGGTGGAATCGACTGCCTAGGGCAGTGAGCTCCCCTTCACTGACAGCTTTCAAGAAGAGGCTGGACGAATATTTGTCAGAGATGCTTCAGAGATGGTCCTGCATTGGGCAGGGGACTGGACTAGATGGTCTGTAGGGCCCTTTCCAACTCTATGATTCTATAGGCATGACAGCAATCATGCTGGGACCCCCAGAGACCCTGACCTTCGCCACTGTTTCCCCTTCCCTACGAAGTACTTTGAATACTCTCAAGGGCTAAATATTATTAGAGAAAGAAGAGACTACTTGGGGGGGGGGAACTAAAGGAAAATGATGTTTGCTACCAAAGCTGTTCTGCAAAGTTTACCTGTCATGTGTCCTCATGAAGTCCCAGGTCTTTGAAACACCATTCTGGAAAACAAGAAACATTAATAAGGATTAGTACAGTCTTCAGTTTGATTTCATACAATCAAGTAAATGTTACATTTACCTATACATTCTCACGCTTCATTTAATGTTTTTGCAGCAGACCGAAGTGGTAAGTTAATGTAATTATTTATTTACATTATTTATAGTTTGCCTTTCCAGAGGGACTCAAGGTAGGTTACACAAAGTGAGTCAGTATGATCAACAAAATGGGACATTTGATAACCAATGCATTAGGATTTAGAAGCCTAGAACCACCAGAAAGAACTGAAGCACAGCATAAGCATTCAGGTGACACATTAAGCGGTACAGAAATTACATAAACAGGATCCTACTTACAATAATGCTATACACAGCAGTATAGACCATAGTCCCTAATCATTTATGCAAGTAACTCTGTGAACCATTTTATATAGTGCAACCCTATTGCCTATGCAAAAAAGCCCTCTTGAATAATTCAGCTTTGCATATATCTGAGGCGGTGATGCTCGGTATTCTTAAGAACATAAGAGACGGCAATGTTGGATCAGGCCAAAGGCCCATCCAGTCCAACACTCTGTGTCACACAGTGGCCAGAAATACCAGGTGCCATCAGGAGGTCCACCAGTGGGGCCAGGAGGACATTAGAAGCCCCCCCCCTGTTGACCCCCCCCCCCCCAAGCCCCAAGAAGACAGGGCATCACTTGCCCCAGAGCCCCTATCTATACCTTGTGGCTAATAGCCACTGATGGACCTCTGCTCCATATGCTTATCTAATTCCCTTTTGAAGCCGTCCATGCTTGTAGCCGCCACCACTTCCTGTGGCAGTGAATTCCAAGTGTTAAGCACTCTTTGGGTGAAGAAGTACTTCCTTTTATCCGCTCAGCAATTTCATTGAGTACCCACGAGTTCTTGTATTGTGAGAAAGGGAGAAGAGTACCTCTTTCTCTACCTGCTCTATCCCATGCATGATCTTATAAACCTCGATCATGTCACCCCTCAGCCGTCGTTTCTCCAAGCTAAAGAGCCTCAAGCGCTTTAACCTGTCTTCATAGGGAAAGTGTTCCAACCCTTTTATCATTCGAGTTGCCCTTTTCTGCACTTTTTCTAAAGCTATAATATTCTTTTTAAGGTGTGGTGCTTGGGGGGCAACAGTGCTTGGGCTTCTGGAGTCTAACCCCACTGGTGGACCTCCTGACAGCACCTGGGTTTGGGCCACTGTGTGACACAGAGTGTTAGACTGGATCGGCCATTGGCCTGATCCAGCACGGCTTCTGTTACAGTCTTATGTCTGCGGCAGTGATGTTGAACTGTGCCTGGCAGTTCTCATTTGATGTTGAGCTTCAAGCCCAGTTTTGCGCTCTCCTCTTTTACCCTGAGCAAGAGGCTCTTTAGGTCCTCTTCACTTTCTGCCATCAGAGTGGTATCGTCTGCATATCTGAGGTTGTTGATCTTTTTCCCAGCAATCTTAATTCCCGCTTGTGATTCATCCAGGCCAGCATTTCGCATGATGTACTCTGAAAAGGTGGGGAAATACCTGGAGATTTGGGGGGTGGAGCCTGAGGAGGGAGGGGTTTGGGGAGGGGAGGGGAGGGACTTCAGTGAGGCATAATGCCACAGAGCCCACCATCCAAAGCAGCCATTTCCTCCAGGTGAACTGATCTCTGTCGCCTGGAGATCAGTTGTAACAGCAGGAGACCTCCAGTCACCACCTGGAGGTTGCCAACCCTAAATCAACAGCCCCCTGTCAGGGGCTCCATCATTTCTGTTGGCAAGGGAAGGGAGAAAGGCTTGAAAAGAGGATCTTAAAATAGTGGGCTGCATAGGCTGAATTTCTGTTTGGACCCTGACCCACCCTGGGTCTTGAGTTTCCATAGTCATGAATGTAACTGTTTCCACAATCTCCTGAGGCAAAACGAGCCATCGTGTTGTGGCCGCAAACGGGCCTTCCTCGCACAACGTAATAAGCGTATATACATTAAAAATTATTTCACCTCATCAGGCCGTGGAAAATATTTGCAAAACCTTGAGCCAGGTACGTGAGAACAGCGGAGAAAGGAAATTGAGCTACCGGGTGGGTGAAGATGCCGCTCGGCAAATGTAGGCCCGAAGGCTTAGATACAGATTTGTCAGGACAACTGAACACAGAACAGTTGGTGGGGATTAGGTAACTACCACAATTGCCTTGGACAATAATCTTCTAAGCTTTGTAAATTTAACTGATCCCCCCCCCCCTTCTTTGGAAAGGGTGAGTGTTTGCCCAGGGGCTGTGTTTTGTCATAACCTTAGCAGATGAAGTGATAAAACAGTTGTTACTCTGGAGCAATGCCTTATCATAGGCACAATTTCAGTATCTGTTAAAACTGGCAGGACTTGGAAAGGGAAAAATTTTGTGGAATGCACCACGCAAATCAGTGACGTGGAAGGAAAGGCGCTCTATACTGGGTCTAGGGATGCCAGCCTCCAGGTACGACCTGGAGATCCCCCGGGATTACAGCTCATCTCCGTACTACAGAGATAATTTCCTCTGGAGAAAATGGATGTTTTGGAGGGTGGACTCTGTGGCACTGTCCCCCACTGAGGCCCCTGTCCTCCCCAGGCTCGGTTTCCAAATCTCCAGAAGTTTCCGAAACTGGATCCCGCAACCCCTACTCCCTAGGGCTGCCAAGTATTACCTCGATCCGGAGCGGGGGAGTCCCGGGTTGCTCCTGGAGCATGTGCGCGCTGCATCCACGTCACACGGAAGTGACGCGATCACGCAGGGCACGCTGGGGGTGGGGCCATGACCATCTGAGGGAAAACCACAGAGTTTTCCCTCAGATGGTCATGGCCCCGCCCCCAGCGTGCCCCGTGTGATCGCATCACTTCCTGGTGATGTGCACGTCAGGGTGGATCTCCCCCCCCCGGGGCCCGATCCGGCGGCGGCAGGGAACGGGCTTCTGGGGCGGGGGTTTCCCTGCCCCCCCGGGGGGACTTGGCAAGCCTACTACTCCCCTATCCCCTGCCAGTGGTCAGAGAGGACCTGGCAACCTAAGGTTGCCAATTCTTCATTGGGAAGTCCCTGGAGATTTTAGGGGTGGAGGCTGTGGAGGGGAGAGACCTTGGTGGGGTATAAAGAAATAGAGTCAACCCTCCAATGCAGCCATTTTCTCCAGGAGAACTGATCTGTGTAGTCCGGAGGTCAGTCATAATTCCAAGAGATCTCCAGGCCCCACGTGGAGGCTGACAACTCTAGGTCACTGCTACTGGCCTGCCAGCAGAGTTTACATATAATAAATTACAATAAATATGGAAAAATCACACACACCCCCGCCCATCTCCTGGGGTTCACCAAAAGCTCCCTTGTATACCAACCCCCTCTATTGATACCAACATTTCAGATCTTTTACTTCATGTGTTAAGTGAACCAGGCTGACTGCTTTGGCAACAGAGACATAAGGGCCCAAAAGGGGTGGGGGAAATCAGGGGGGGGAAATCATTCTGTTTCCATTTTTTCCACACGAGGCCTTATTTTCAATTGTTCTGATGGAAAACATTGTGAAATATGGGGGGACTCTGAAAAGAAACTCCTATGAGCTATTTCTCTTTTAGAATGAGTAAAAATGCTTCAGGCAAGGTTTCTCATACTCAAGATGTTTGAGGACTTTTCCAGTTTTTCCATTGGGAAATTCTGAGGAGCACTGGGTAAAAAAAAACCCCTATCAAATACTTTCTCTTTTTGAGTGAGAAAAACATAAGAACATAAGATACGCCAATGTTGGATCAGGCCAAAGGCCCATCCAGTCCAACACTCTGTGTCACACAGTGGCCAGAAATACCAGGTGCCATCAGGAGGTCCAGCAGTGGGGCCGGGACACTAGAAGCCCTCCCACTGTTGACCCCCCCAAGCACCAAGATGACAGAGCATCACTTGCCCCAGAGCCCCTATCTATACCTTGTGGCTAATAGCCACTGATGGACCTCTGCTCCATATGCTTATCTAATTCCCTTTTGAAGCCGTCCATGCTTGTAGCCGCCACCACTTCCTGTGGCAGTGAATTCCAAGTGTTAATCACTCTTTGGGTGAAGAAGTACTTCCTTTTATCCGTTCTAACCCGACCGCTCAGCAATTTCTTGTTAAACCTTGTCTAACAAAGCATTTCACTCATCCCAAACATAAAGCATGAAAAAGTCAGAGGCCTTTTTCAATTTTCCAGTATAAAATTGGGAAATATTGGGGAAGAAAACTCTTTTACTGTAGAAATATACAATACTTTCAAGATTTGTTTAAAGGTAATAATTTTGGCAACAATTAATAAACTATAGAATGTTTAATGATAATGCAATATTAAAGAGCTCAGTATTTTTATCAATATCCAAACATGCTGGCAGGGCTACCTATTATGACCCTACGAGAGTTTCATAGAATCACAGGGTTGGAAGGGACTTCCAGGGTCATCTAGTCCACCCCCTGCACAATGCAAGAAATTCACAAGTATCTCCCCCCCTACACAGCCCACATGACCCCTGCTCCATGCCCAGAAGATGACAAAACAAAACCAAAAAACCCTCCAGGATCTCCAGCCAAACTGGCCAGGAGAAAAATGGCTTCCTGACCCCAAAGTGGCGATTGCCCTTTTCCTGGGCAGGCGAGAAAGGGCCACAAGAACTAAGCACTGAAGCAACCCTTCCTGCCCTCCGTCTCATGATCTGGCTAAGTTCACAGAATCCGCATTGCTGTCAGATGGCCATTCAGCCTCTGTTTAAAAACCTCCAAGGAAGGAACGCCCACCACCTCCGGAGGAAACCTGTTCCACTGAGGAACCGCTATAACACTCAGGAAGTTCTTCCTAATGTTTACATCAGGGTTGCCTGAGGGCTTAGTTATTGTGGCCCTTTCTTACACGCCCAGGGAAATGCTGATTGCCGCTTTGGGGTAAGGAAGCCATTTTTCTCCAGGCCAGTTTGGCCAGGGATCCTGGAGGCTTTTTGCCATCTTCTGGGCCTGGAGCAGGGGTCACTGGGTG